AGACGTGCAGACGTGTGATTCTGTTAATTTTCTATTTAGTCTAAGGCGTACAGCAACCAAGTCGTACCAAGTCTGTTACCCTATATGAGATTACCGTATTACTTTAATCGTGTAATAAATTCAATTAACAATCGTGTTGAACGCTATAATTTTCTCAAATATAATTTAATTAACTCAGAGCTAAAGTGTCGTAATTAATTTAATTGAGCTAATGATTATAATTATGCTAAATGTTTCACAGTTTGTTTATTATGAATATCAAACTATATTTTCATAGTTGTAATACAAGAACGACTCTTTAAGATAACTAAGTTTAGTAGCAGTAGAGCTCCTTGTGAAAGAATTCGTCCAGGGAAGTATTGCCACCTTACCTATTTCTGCCGCTAAGCAGTAATGTGAGAATTACTGCGTTCCGGTTTAGAAGGGTAAAGTGATGGTATAATTACAGGCACATGGGACTTGTCAACTTATGTAGGGTGACGGGCGCTGGATAGACGTGTCGCTTACCACCAGGCGCAAGACTTGTTCGTCCCGTCACTTGGTATTAATACTTTGATTTAAAATATTTGCAATTTTTTTTATAAAAAAAACGAAATGTCGGAGTAATCACGTAACATACACAAATTCGTCGAATTGAGAACTTACTCCTCTAGTTTTGTTATAATTATTAATACAAAGATCGAACACTTAAAAAAAAATGCTTCGATCCGGCCGGATTCGAACCGAGACGTCTTGTAAACCGTGCCAGACGCTATGCCAACTAAGCCACGGAACGAACCAGCGGACCTCACGAATTTCTTTATGTGCTTGTTTTGTCGGATCTTCTGCATTTGATTCAACAACTTTTTAGCCGTAGCGCCATCTATGAGAAATGTATGAAAGTATTTCGTCACCCAGTTTAATACCTTTACAGCTACCAGCCCTGGCTAGAGATGTCGCTATTAACTTGTAATTTATATTTTTGAATATTAGTATTTTGAATATTTGTATTATTGAATATCAGGATGTTTTTCCACCATGATATTCAATTATGTTACTCCTTTTAAAAACACAAGTGATAACTACGATGTGAAGTGTGATAAGCATAGACGTGTGCCGTTATGATTCTTTACAAAATATTGTGTTCCAATGTAGGCAATAAATTCCCTCTATAATAGATATCACTAGATTTGCTTGCATCTTGTTTTAGGGGATATATATCTGAGTCCCTGAGCTAACAAATATTTTGCTTATAGCTGAAGCGAAACTGGACAACAACGTCGTCATAGGTTGTGTCATCATTTCTATTAAAGTCCACATTTTCATCATCAACCACAATTTGTGACATTGATGATCCTCAATTAATAGTGACGGTCGATGGTGGCATTGTCACTCTGTAATGACGGGAATCTATTGTTTTTGTTTTATGTGAATGATTGTCACTAGTTTCTTGGCTATTGTGCTGTTTATTACAATATAATACATCCGGCTAGTGTCATTAGCGAAAAGAAAATTAAATTACACGCCCCGACACAATTTGCGGTACACTAGTAATTCCCAAAATAATGCTGTGTTTTGTCAAAAGTCTGACGTTTTGTTTTACTTTTTTTTAATTGAAAATGAAAAATGAATCGACTGTCATTTTTTATTTTTTTTATTTTACGTGTTTCGAGGTTGATTTTGTGTTCTTCTAAATTACGTAAACCGAATTGAAAAAGTTATTCAATTTTCAAACACTTCTACTTCATCACTTAAATGTAGAACAAAAAGCATTTTGTTTAGTTTTGATTTTTCTCAATAAAGATCGAGTAAGGCTTTTATTAAGGCGAAGTTAAAAGACGTTAATGTAATATATAATGTGTCTAACTTTTTTATTAATATTACAATTTTATATTATCACTTTCACGTTACTATTTTATATTCTCACTTTTTGTTGCATTAAATGTGCCGGAATGTGTATACACAGGCCGCAAACACGACTAATATTTGCAATTAATGGAAACAAACACGTATAGTTCATTTGAGAATTTCTGTAACTAAGTACAGATCATATACACTCATAAAATATTACCATTGGGTAGGCAAAGACTATCGAATGCCATTTTGCGCAATCCTGACAAACCTCTCATAGACATAGACATACTTTTAGTGGCATAATACAACAACAAAAAACCACACAAAAACCAGTTTACATACAAATAATTATTTGACATATAATTAAAATAAAAGTATAAGTCATGCCAACACGGGACTTAACTCAGCATGTACTGCAGTAACATACCACAGCGCTGGTTTTCAGTAAGCTCGTAGAGCTCGACGCCAGCAATAAACGCAAAATAAAAAATTTATACTAATACTGCGTTTTCGCTTCACTTACAATCATCAATATTTTTATACAAGCCCTCTTATTCTTCTCACTACACAATCCAGTTATGTTCTCCTTCACTGCTAGCTACGTTTTTTTATGATATCAATTGACGAGATGAACAAGTCGTTGGCTATACGTAGTAAGCGACATGGCTATACGTAATAGTTGTAGTGCATTGAAAGCCTTAAATCGTAAAGATCTGATAGGCACTGCCACTGCGCCCGTCACTCTGAATCATAAAGTCGATAAGTCCCGAGTGCCCGTACTTTCACCCTTACCCTTCAAAACCGTAATGCAGTAATGCTCACATTACTGCTTGGCAGCAGAAATAGGTAGAGTGATAGTACTTCCCTGAACAAACAAGGAGCTCTACTGCTACTAATGATGTATGCTTCTAATACAAATGTACCTAACTTAGAAATTAAAGATGTATATTAATAGTAGTATAAATTATTATATAATATTATAAAACTAGGTATCGTAGTCGTTAATGAGCTTCCAGCTCCCCCGAGACCGTCCTCGTTATGTTTCAGACTTCATTATGTATTACTTAATAATCTTCTACGCTCTTGTATTATTTTATTTATTTTTCATTTTATTTGCCAGCGTTGTTGACGTATATTTGCGCACAAATTAAAGTATCGAATTCGAATAAAAACCTCAACACATCATTATCCCAAACAAAAGCCTCGTAACATGAATAAGGATGCACATTGACTCATTATCTTGGAAAAAACGACTCAAGTGCTTTCTGATTGTTTGTTAGAATAAAGTTTTCACAATAAATTTACTGACAAGTCTGAAATAATAATAATAACGCACACACTCAACATAGCCACGCACTAGGGAAACCCTGTGTCGCGGGTGCCATGGACACACACATAGACAACCACAAATTACACCCAAACTCATGAGATAAATTATAAACTAATGTAGGCCATACAAATATTTCTCCCGGCCCAGGAATCGAACCTGAGACCTCTCTGCGTGGCACTTCTGCATGGTAACCGTTCGGCTACAGAGGCAGTTATAATTTGACAACCTTGGTGGCCCGGTGATTCGCTCTGTGGGCGCTATGTGAGAAGATCCTAGATACGATTCCCGTAAGGAGCAGTTTGGGGAATGAACGAACCAGCGGCGCCTTAAGGATATGCTGAAGCGGTGCCTTTTCACTGCTATAACAAAAATTTTATGTTTAACTCTGTCTTTAATCTGCGCCTGTGTCATATCTAATTACGTTACGTTAGCTGATCCGGCCGCGTGCGGAATACCGAAGTTTTACGAAGAGCAAAGGTAGGTGGAATCGAGGTATACCTTTGCGGCGACAACTTCGTTGGGGCGGCCATATATCAAGGATGGCAGAGGGGCGTGTGGCAAAGCACATCTTTTATTCGGAACTCAAGGGGGGCAAGCGAAAGCATGGCGGACAACTCCTTAGATATAAAGATGTGCGTGTGGCGCTTAACGCCACATGAAAAATTGCGACATTGACCCAACAGAGTGGGAGAAACAGGCAGCCGATCCGCAATGGAGATCTTTTGTGGCAAACAAAACGTCACAATTCGAGACTCGTCGAAGAATTGCGTTGCGGTTGGGGGGCCGGTTGGGAGTTCTGTTGGGGGTCGGTTGGAGGTCGTTTGGGGGGCCGGTTGGCGGGCCGGCTGGGGGGCGGTCAGGGGTGAGCGACCCACTCCCTAACCCAACCCACCCACACACCCGCTCACCCACCCACTCACCCACCCCGTAACCGACCACCTAACCAACCCCCTATCCCATCTCCTAACTCACCCCTAACCCACCCCCTGAACCACTCCCTAAACCACCCCTAACCCACCCGCTGGCCCACCCCCTAATCCACATACTAACTCACCCCTAACCCCCACAACCCAAACCCTATCCCACCACCTAACTCACCCCTAACCCCCAACCCAGACCTTAATTCACCCCCTAACTCACCCCTAACCCCCATAACCCAAACCCTGTCCCACCACCTAACTCACCCCTAACCCCCCAACCCAAACCCTAACCCACCTCCTAACCCACCCCCTAACCCACCCTCTAACCCACCCCCATATGCCTTTATATAAATTTATATAAATTTTATTATATTGTATAAATTTATCATAATTGTCAGTTTTAATTGTTAATTGTTAATCACAAACATTGAAAAGATTGAAAATTGATTAATTGTTAATTGTAGATATACGCGATTAACGATTGATCAATTGTTAATTGCGAGAACCGCAATTAAGAATTAATTAATTGTTATTGCGGTTCTCGCAACTAACAATTGATCAATCGTTAATTGCTGTTTCGCAATTGACAATTAATTAATTGTCAATCTTTAATTGCCAGAACAATTTAATTTTGCCCAACACTGATTATTATATGTAGAATACTCACAGAATAATACTGAGTATTATAATGTGTTGAGAATACTTATGTATTATGACTCCTAGTAAAAGAATCTTATAACATTCTTTAAACTAAGTGTGAATTGAAGGTCAATGTTAATTATAAACAACCTCGACTTTCGCTAGTCACAGGAAAATGAAATCGTCGAATTGATTAAATACTACTCGTTCGTAACACAGACTCCCTTGAGAAAACTTCTGTTTGCTCATAATCTGACGTCACCAATATTGTGTTTCAGATGAAAACGCCCGCGATCCAAAATGATTTCAGCTATTACCGCCGCAGCGTGTCCCGAGGCGGGCTGATCAATTCCGACCTACCGCCGGGCGAGGAGCCCCACATAGGCGCCGAAGTCGCCAACAGAATGTCCTTGTTTTATGCACAGGTATGTCATAATTACACTTTATTAACCCCTGACACGAAAAGAGTCTTTCTGTGATATCGGCCAAACGAATAAACTAATCTCATAACAATTTTTTTTTTGTTTGTCAGGTAAAGGCCTTAGTTGTATTTCCAATAAAATTGTCCGATCGACTTGAAATTTGGTGTACTATGGAATTCTGATGACATTGCAATAATATGGTAATCTTGATCTGAGGCTGCTTACAGCCGAATTGCTGACTTACAGATATTGACTTGTAGACTTAAGACTTGTATATTTCATGAACTACGAACTATTAGGAATATATTCTCGACACTGACCGACATGAACTAGTTCGTCTTGCACGGTCTTAATAGTTCATCGGTCTTTTTAGTTCAGTACTAGGAACTGTTTGCGTTGATACTTCACGTATCTTTTATTCAGAAGGAACGGTGCGAGCGGGAGAATTAGCGATCTTTCACATTTAGTACACGTTCGAGTGGATGCACGATTGAACGTTACCAGCCCGTTTTACGTCTCTAATACTTATTTACATTATGTATTTATGTAAGCTTGTAAAAAAGTAAGTGCTCATATTTTTTTAGTGGATGTGGTTGGTACCTGTGTATGTATACCTAATATACGTGTATGTGAAATCGTTGTAAATGGTTGTCAACAAATCATTCTAACTAAAATATACGTTATTCCATTATTGTTTTGTAAAAAATGGATATTTAGTTAGAATGACAGTCTTGGGACCTGTAAAATGTGAACAAAAATCAATTAGTACCGATTCCATACAAATTGTATTTTAGAATGTTTAGTGCAGTGTACTATTGACCTGCTATTACTAAAAGTCCGTAGAAGTTCATGTGAATAAAATAACTAGTTCGGAGCGTTCGTTCAATTCCGAGCAAAGAACAAGACGAACTAACGGCACTAGCAGCTAGCAACAGAACTCCTTATGAAGTAGTTCGTTCGGAGAAGTACAACCACCTTACCTATTTGTGCCCCTAAGCAGTAACATAAGCATTACTGCGTTCCGGTTTTGAGGGCTAAGGATGTTGGTGAAATTCAGGCACATGAGACTTGAAAACTCGGACGCAGGGACTATGCCGCTCAGATTTATGCAATTTCAAGCTTTGAGTGGCACTGTAACTGTTATGGATTGACATGTCGCTTACCATCAGGCGCAAGACCGGTTGATCTCGTTACTTGATATCATAAAAAACATCATCCCATTGATAGAACAAGATTGACACGAACTACAGCGCACGTTGGAATAACATAATTATAAGATCTGAAGAATTTTCCTTATGCCAGTTATAACAGGTAGTCAGAAGAGAAATTACATATTTTAATTATCTCCTATTACATACATTACATATTTTAACTACCTCCTTCTCACTGCTCCGGCACTCATCGAAGTTGTCATTAAACGCCCTAACCAAAATTTACTTTGTTACCAGGCCACACCGATGCTAAAGGTGCTGTCGGAAGCGACAAGCCAATTCGTCAACGACAACCAGCAGGACCTCGAAAATACCACCGAAACGCTTAGCACCATGGCCAAAGTCTGCCTCAGGATGTTGGAGAACCCGTAAGTTTAATTTATCATTGTTTTCTGCCGAAGCGGCACCAGAGTTGTTGCGAATATCGGCAGCGACATCCGCAGATAAACCGCATCAATTAAAATATCCGCATCCGCATTCATCGATCCTGATATTCAGTGCTGATATTCGCTGATAGTCGTGCGGTTAATTTACAAACTGTCCAGACAGACAGCAAGCCAAAAGAGTATCTCAGCCCTCGATCTTACTCTTGACAAAATTCCAGTGTGATTAAGCTAGGCAGTCTGATTTTAAGCATGTGAATTTTTTTGCCGCATCAGTCCGCTGATGTGTAAAAAACTGTATCAGCGACAACCCTGGTCAGTAACAATTTGAATACAATTTATATATAAGACATGCTAATACGGTATAAACATAATTCGTAAATACAATGCAATGTATACTCTAATCTTTACACACCTCATTTTCAAGTACTTCTTATTTAATTGTATAATTTCAATTCATTTCAACATATTTATTTCAGATAAAATCCATATAATGTTAGTATCATGAGCTAGTATTAATATTATTCTAACTATGGAGAGTGAATCCATCTACGCGGGACTGGCGAGTCCCACGCGCAGGACGGTGTTGGAACTCCCTCGGAGACGTTTCAGCGCAGACACACATTGTTTTCTCACAATGACCATGAAACCATCTGTCTGAGAATATTATATTATGTGTTATCCATCTTTATGCTCGTGAAATTACAGGCACATTGGACTTGTCAGCTTAATATCTAACACACTGACAGGTACAGTGTCCCTCAGATCTTTGCTATTTAAAACTCTGGCTAGCACTGCAACTGCTATGGACAGGCGTGTCCCTTTTTTTTAAATTTATTTATCACATAAAACATAATACACAACAATGTTTCTAGTCGCATTTCAAATCACAAAAGTTCATCATAATGTGAACTCTAGCCACACAATACATAATGTACAAATCACTAACAGAAACGTAAACAGAAGAGCGTAATTCTTGCGTTACGTAACATTTAAGTAATCCATATAAATAATCTATCTATAATTTACTAAAAAGATGTTACTGAAATGGGATTGAGTAAATACATTTATAAATAATCAAAGAACAATTGCGACATCCAGTGTATTTTGTGACCCAGTGTTTTTGACAACGACGTGGTTATGTTTATAACATTGTCCTGTATTTCGCTTCAGATGTTTGTTCGTAGTAGCAGATAACAACAAGTTTTCAGTTTGTCCCCAAAAATAATAGAACTTGCTGAATATTCCCAAATCTGCCAAACTCTGCCACATTTAATACAACGTTATCATGTTCTGCAACAATAAAAAATAAATCTGCCCAAATGACAGAAATCTGCCACAAATGGTCAAACTGTTCTCAATCTCAGTGTGACATTGACATGAGGCCTCTTGTCAAAACGTTCCTTTGCTAACTTTCATAAGAAATTCTCACAGGACATTGGCGCAATCGCCATTTTTTTGTATAATTTTTATAATAATATTAAACTACCGTACATAGTTATTTTTACTTGACATTGGCAAAATCATTGATTATTTCGTTGGAGCCATAATATTTAAAAGAAGAAGATTATCTCTCATTAAAATACCTATTGTCTAAACATTTTTGTCACATTGTGTGTTTTATTTTTTACTTTATATTATTACTGTTTAGGTAATTGATTATTTCATTAGGTATTTTATACCTTCAAAGTTTTATGTGTGTACTATAAAATAACCAATACTTTAGGTCGGTAAACATTCAATCATGCTTAAAATCAAACGTACGTACAATCAAGAGCACATCAAGCTTGACACTTTGTACTTTGGACTGTTCTTATCGTAAGCGGCATAGAATTGGATTTAAGGCTTAAGTGTAAAGCTTGACTTGCTCTTGACCCTGTACAAGAACGTTACCCAGTCTATGGTGAAACTGAATCAATCGCGTTGTATTCTTGCGTCTATTCTAAAATACCTTGTTTTACAATTTATTTATACAAAATTATACTAGCAAAGTCCATGAACGGCTCTTCGTTGATTTTATAATTATTGGTCTTCTTTCGCCATCCTTCTTTATCACAATTAAACACCAGGCGCACAACTTGTCTGTTCCGTAATTTGGTGTAATAAAAAAATTACTTACAATTCGCTAAGTTTTATCCATTGTTAGTAAACTAAAAGTGTAGCTGTAACAATGGATAGGTACCTACGTTATTTTGTTGGCACGCGCCCAAACTGTACAACTTTATGTTCACAATGTCTTAACTTCGCTGTTACAGCTGATATAAAGAATACTCTGTGATTTCAGATCGATTTGCTCATATATGTACAAGAAGAAACATCTGATAATATAGTCTATGAATAATTAGTCCTAGAACAAACTATTACAATTTATATATCGTCGTAACTGACGATATCGACTCATCCGTAGAACAAAGATGTATGTGCAACACTCTTGTTCTCAGGACAGTACATTTCGTTCGTTCTTTTTCGCTGTGGATGACAGATCAACCGTTGTTCGATTTTATATTTCCGAAATGAAATAAGGTACATAAATTCTCAAAACACCTTAACGTAGACCTTAGTTTGAATAAGGAAATTATTCTCGTAACGTACTTATTCTCTTTTCGCTATAGAATCACATCGGACTCTGTTCTTCGGATGAGTCGGTATGACGACTGATAACGACCTCGAAGGCTTGACGGTTTGCACTGTGGACGATGGAGAGGTCCTGGGATCGATTCCCGATAAGAGTCTTATCATAGGACCAATTTGAGAAATGAACTTATGTAAATTGGTCCGGATCTGGATCCTCTGAAGTGAATTCCATTACTCTGGTGCTCATAGCATAGGGAATTTTTTTGTTTTTTTTTTTATAATACGAAGTGACGGGACGTACAAGTGCTTCTGGTGGTAAGCGAAACACCTATCCATAACATATCTAGTGCCATTCAGAGCTTCAAATCGCAAAGATCTTAGGGGCGCTGCCACTGCGCTCGTCACATTGACGTAACTAAACATAAGTTGACAAGTCCCAAGCTTGTAATTTCACCAACACCCTTACCCTTCAAAACTGGAACACAGTAATGCTCACATTACTGCTTGGCGGCAGAAATAGGTAAGGTGGCAGTACTTCCCTGGACGCACTCTTTCACAAGGAGCTCTACTGCTACTAAGGAGTTTAAGTATTACATGAATATAAGTAATTGGTACAGGTAGATACGATCGAAACTACGTTGCCATTAAATTTTAAAGACGTACCTCCTGTAAATGTGCCAGAAAAACACACCAATTACCTGGTTTCAAACTGGATTAGCATTGGATGGCAATTTTTATTATATAAATATTCAAGAATATTATCGTGCAATTATTAAATAATATTTCATGATACAATACTCGAATATTAAATAATAATGCACGATAAAAAATGGAATACTTAAATAATAAAATTGCAACGGAAATTAGGTAGTGAACTCTAGCCCGAGAATGACCGTAAACATTACGTCACACAAATTATCTGTACAGGCGAGGCATCATCCTGCATAATGTCACAACAACGCCATAGACAGTATATGATAGTTTCAATCCTATATTCTGTCTGTCTGTTTCCGTTATACGTTTTCCGTGTCAATCAGATATACGATATCGTTAGACTATGGAAATTTTCTATCCTCTAAGACGATATCCAAACAACTTTTTTCATCCAATAATGGCTATCTAGACTAGCTGCCTAAATATAATTATTAGGCAGTCTAGGCACATAAATCTCTGACTTCCTCGGAACGCCGCCTATTATAACGAACTATATACATCTAGTAACCAAAGTTATAATGTTTAGAACTCACGTCAGCTATACAAAGTCTGTAGACATCTTGCGTGACTGTACGTATTGGGAACATTCCTATCAAACAATTCAGTTCTCGGCTTAAATTAGCTCACGGCTGTATAGACTAAGTCATTGTATTTTGAGCGTAATGCCCTATTCTCGCGTTAAAACGATTAGATAAAATTGTACATTACAATTTTGAATACATATTTAAAAAAATCCAATTTAAAAGTTTCGAAAAGAGAATTGATACAACGGCGTGATTATTTATTAAATGTACTAACTCGGGTGACTTGCTTTTTGAGCAATACACATTGTATAGATAAATTCATAACATGTCATTACGCGTGATGCTTTTTAATACTGATTTTTAGGTCAGCCAGTGCCTCTACTAAGAGTTGACAGGAACAATTGTCGCTAACGACAATTAAATTAGCGACGAAAATGTTAGTTCTTTATTTGACAGCTAGGGCGCCAACGTTACAACATTCAGTGATACTTGTGGTGTTGTATACCGTAATTCATTAAATGTGAATACGTTTATATCAACATTTACCATGAAGAACTGTTTCGATTTAAGATCCTTAACTAAAGTAATTAGGTAGAAAACCATTCGGCCCAATCAACCTGGCATTCAATGGTTTGTTGACGCCAAAGTCGATACCTCCGATGAACACTACGCCAACAAATTTTTTGGACATCTCTGTTTCTATTTTGTTTTTGTTTCTTTCATTGACTCTTTTTTTTTTCACAAAATTCGGTGAGCATAATATTAGTAAATAAATAGGACTGTTTACTAAAAAAAAACCGATCAGACCAACAATAAAGGCGTTGTGTTCATTGGAGGTATCGAAATGAGCAGGTGTGAATTAGTTACAGCGTTAAGATTTCGCTCGAGAGACGTTCCTTTGAACAATTACGGATTATTGATGTCAAAGGTTCCTTCATCAAAATGTGGGACATGTACAACAACAGAAGACGTTTATCATGTGATAATGGAGTGTGTTACGAGTGAGGTGTTAAGACAACAGATTCCAGTCCAGAATCTCCTTTCCGAATATCCTTTTCTTTTTTTTATTATTTACTGCACAGGAAAACACAAATCACATTTAGTAAAACGGAAAACACAAACAAAAAGTACTGCTTATTTGTAAAAGAAATTTCTTCCTGCAAACCAAAATAC